ATTGGGCTTGCTCTGCGCAAAACCACTGCACAGAGCAGGTAAGTATAACATGTTTGTTATTTAATTAAAAAAAAAATCATTTAATATCACTTTAAGTGTAACAAATAGGAATATGGGTTATTACCATCATCATTAGGCATTGTAGGCTGTGCCTATGAGCAGCAGAGGAAAAGAGGGAGCTACTGTTATTTGTCATGTTTTATGTTTTTTGATACACATATACTGTAGAAAAAAGTCATCACATCTAAGATTAGTTACATATTATCATAAAACTCTGAGCCAGTTAAGAGCCAACAAATCAAGGACATACTCTGTGTACAAGAGGCAACCCTAGCAGATAGTTTTCACTTTAGGCACCAAAGGTTGTGTGTCTACATGTTCCAATTATGTAAATTTGGCCTTTGGTTATTTCACGTAAAGTTAATCTTTCCATTTCTAAAACATATTAATATAGTGGTATCTTCATATTTCACTTACAGTGTTTCAAATACATTCCTCCTTTCTGCAAATTGTGCAGCCTGAGCAGACTAAACAGAGCTGTTACCAATGCAAATTATTTTGTTGTCTGCAGTTAAAGGCTACATTCATCTTTTGAGAATTATTAAAAAATGCAGGTAAAAAAAATATGCATTCATTATATTTTCCCCAGGATCCTGTAAATCATTACACCCGCAATCAGTGTATCGGTGGTGCAATACAAGACTCCTGCACACACTATCTATAGAGTTCTGTGCCTGAACATCTGTACAGGCAGACAGTACCTGAGCTGTAGGCAGTGTGAATGAACTACAACCATGCTGATTTGTAGTGGATGGGACTTGTGGTTTTCTCATTCATAAATTCTTGTACATAAATTATATGGCTGTATGGGCGGGTGCGGTAAGAAGAACCCCTGCCTGCTGTCACAGTGGGGGATGGGGGGAGGGGGTGTCTGCTGCATAATAACATGTAACATGTCACTAAAAAGCCTTTAAGCCAACAACTCTTTCTAACCACTCCCCTGGTAGATGACATATTTAGAGACCACTGACCCATGACTATTATAGAGAGGTCTCTGCTATGATTGACAATCTGGTTTCACCTTCTACATGGTCTGTGGCAGGCAACATGAGAATACACAGGGTGAAAATAAAAGCCTCTGGGGACAGGCTAAGTTTCTGCTCATGATTGTACTTGGCCATATTCAATATATTTCAAAATATATCAATAAATAAATAAATATATATATATATATATATATATATATATACAGTATATATATATACTGCATTTTGAAATGTGTTTTTATTACAAAATATATGAAAAATATATTTAAGAACACATTTCAAATACACTGTATGTCTTTAAAAATACAAATCTACATTTTTGTATATATGTTAAAATTACTTTTTTTATATGTTAAAAAAAATCTTAAAAATATACAAAATATATGAAAAATATTTTTAAAAAATAATATTTTTTTAAATATAGTCTTCAGATTTTTTCAACATATAAAAAAGTAATTTAAACATATATTGTTACATATATTTGTAAATGTATTCCAAAAATATAGACTTGTATTTTTGAAGACATACAGTATATTTGAAGTGTATTTTTAAAAATATTTTTCATATAATTTGTAATAAAAACGCATTTCAACATGCAATATATATATATATATATATATATATATATATATATATATATATATATATATAGAATATGTCCAAAATTGTAGCATTTCAAATATATGTCAATATATTTGGGAAGAACATTTTTAAAATATATTTCAAATATATTTTTCTTCCATGTGGATTCCAGCTTTGGCTCCATAGAGTGCATGAGTTGGAACCAGATGGAGGATATTGTGCTTTCTGCTCAAAACAAAAAGGTGCTGTACTCCAAAACCTGGCTTCATTAGAACATGTTTACTACTATACCTATATACCTATACTACTATACCTATACTATACTAAACCTACTATAACACTCTCATCAAGACCCTCTCATCCAATCCTCGTCAACTCTTCTCTACCCTTAATTCCTTACTCCACCCACCAACTTACTTACTGCACAAGAAATTGCCAGTCACAAAGAAGATCGACACAATTTGTGATGAGATCTCCAGTGTCAAGCTTCCTCCTCTAACCAACATACCAGGCCCAACACCAAACTCAACACTCTCCTCCTTCGACCCTGTTACCTCCAAGGAAGTTACCAATCTCCTTTCCAAGGCCCACTTCACCACCTGTCCCCTGGATCCTGTCCCCTCACAACTGTTGTAGCCTCCTTCCTACTCTATTCTAAACTCTCTAACCCACATCTTCAATCTCTCACTCTCCAGGGGCACCTTTCCCTCCCCACTCAAACATGCACTGGTTACCCCCATTCTCAAAAAACCCTCGCTGGACCCCACCTATTTGAATAACTTAAGACCCATCTTCCTGCTCCCGTTTGCCTCCAAGCTTCTCGACCACCTTGTTCACAACCGTATGAACTGCTACCTCACCGACAACAACCTTCTTCATCCCCGACAGTCTGGCTTCCGCCCACAACATTCCACAGAAACTGCCCTACTAAAACTCACTAATGACCTACTAACTGCTAAAACCAAAGGCCATTACTCCATACTCATACTCTTTGACCTTTCCACTGCCTTTTCTCAGTGCACTTTCAGTGTCACATATAACTCCTCCTCCTCCGCTCCTCTTTCCCCTTTCTGTTGGGGTACCCCAAGGTTCTGTTCTTGGGCCACTCCTTTTCTTTCTCTATACCTCCTCCCTGGGCCAACTGATAACCTCCCATGGCTTCCAATACCACCTCTATGCTGATGACACCCAGATCTATCTTTCCACTCCCCAGCTCACCCCCTCAATCTCCTCACGTATCCCAAATCTACTAAGCGACATATTAGCATGGATGTCACATCACTACCTCAAACTCAATCTTTCAAAAACTGAGCTTGTAATATTTCCTCCTCCCCGATCCCCACTCACGACTTTACCATTAAGATCAACAGCACAACCATTGGTCCTTCCCCTCATGCCAGGGTGCTAGGCGTAATCCTAGACTCTGACCTCTCCTTTGGGCCCCACATCCACTCACTGGCTAAACCCTGCCGCCTCAACCTCCGGAACATTTCCGAAATCCGCCCCCCTTTCTGAGCAATGACACCAAAAAAAAATGTATTCACTCCTTGGTTATATCCCGCCTCTTTTACTGCAACTCCCTCCTCACTGGTCTACCGTTACACAGGCTATCCCCCCTTCAGTCTATTATGAATGCTGCTGCTAGACTCATACACCTTACCAACCGATCAGCGCCTGCTGCCCCTTTCTGCCAATCCCTTCAGTGGCTTCCACTAACCCAACGTATGAAATTCAAAACACTAACCACAGCTTACAAAGCCATCCACAACACTGCCCCTAGCTACATCACCGACCTCATCCACAGATATCGGCCAAATCGCCCACTCCGCTCCTCCCATGATATCCTCCTCTCTAGCTCCCTCATCAACTCCTCCCATGCTCGCCTCCAGGACTTCTCCAGAGCTTCTCCCATCCTCTGGAACTCCCTATCACAGCATGTCCTATCAGCCCCCACCCTGTCTGCCTTTAGGCGATCTTTGAAAACGCACTTCTTCAGGGAAGCCTACCCCACCTCCACCTAAGAACTGTACTTGAATCACCTCCACCAGATCATCCCCCACAGCTATCACCTTTTGTATCATCTCTCCCTTCCTTTAGATTGTAAGCTCCACGAGCAGGGCCCTCACATTCCTTCTGTACTGAAATGTATTGTAATTGTACTGTCTCCCTTATACTGTAAAGTGCTGCGCAAACTGTTGGCGCTATATAAATCCTGTATAATAATAATAATGTTTATCTATTCTGAGGAGGGTGAAGACCTTCTTGAAGAGTGAGTTATTATATCAGCCTCCAGCCATTCCTGCTATTGTCATCACTGCCTTCCCCTCCGCCCTTTTTTTCCCCTCTTAGTACCCCCCCCCCCCTTCCTTACCCCTTTTTACCCTTTTCATGTTTTCTGTCTTCCCTTCTATCCATTGTAAGTAAAATGCAGCGTCCTATCCTGTTTCAGGCCCTGTTTTTGTGCTGGTGACTTGAATCTTTTTTAGATTATTGGCAAATGGCAACAGAGGCCAGAATGTAACCTTGTTTTCTGCAGTTCAGTCTTAGTCTATAGTCCCATTTTCCTACAGAGTATTACCCAATCTATTAATGAGGTCATTTTTCTTGGGATTGTTCTTACTTCTGTCACATGGTTTCTATCATTACCTAAAAGATGGCCTGTATGTATCTATTAATGTGCTACATTTGTACAGCTTGTTGAATACTGCATTACCTAAATAAAAAATATGCAAAAAAAAAATAAAAATGATGGCATATGTAAATGACAATATACCCACAAAATCGTTAGTCATTTAATTTCTCCTGTTATATTATGTAAGGTATAAGCCAGCCTCTTTCAACCCGGGTAGCCAGGCACCCTGGGGTGCCTTCAGGGATGCCTTAGCAATATGCCTAAAAATTGCTCAAAAATTGTATACAAGCCAGCAGGTGGATCAATCCTGCCATTTAGTATACAAAGCTAAAGATTTTCAATGTGCACTCTTATGATCTTCTAGCTGCCAGCATCCTAACACCCAAAGATGTCTTCAGTTGATAAGGAGGATGTCGGATGCCTGCACACAATCCTTTTTTGCCCCTCTCCATCAGCACTGGGGTCACATAAACTGAGTAAGGGAGAGAAACTGAGGAAAAAACTTTGGAATTCTAGTCAGTACCAGTGTGCAAAGGTATATTTGCTTTGGAAAAATAAATCACCTCTAACGTTGGGTGCACTACGTGTGTGGATGTTGCTGTATTATGTAAAAATAGCAGAATAGTTTTTTTACATTTTAGATTGGGGATCCTCAAGATTGTCCATAAATTTAATGGGTACCTTGACTGAAAAAAAGTTGATAAACGCTGGTATAAGCTACATTCTAAGAGAATACTCACTAAGTAGACATCAAATATAGAGCCATTGTCATTGTCCATCTCTATCGTACTCTGTTCAGATGTCTGGTATGCACTGTCTTCAAGTGTGAATGTTGAACTTGATGGCAAACCCCTTCTAGAAGCAGAAAGCAATGAGTCAGAACATGCATAATCCAAAATAATGTCTATCTTATTTAGTGATGCAAAGGAAACAATGTCTGGTTATTATACCTTAGCGATAACTAAGACAACTTGGCTACAGCTATTGCTTTCCATACAAAACATAATAAACTATCAATCATAGATTCAACAGTTCAAAACTCTCTCTCTTGAAAACGATCATTTGACACACTAAAGATCAGTTTATTATTTGAATTTGCCATTATTTATTTCAAGCCCTCAATTTAGTGCAACTGATAAAATTCTTTGATCAAAGTGATTGTTATGTCAAATACATGTATCATGATGTAAGCTCAGTGGCTCTAGTTAGAGTTGTTTATGGTCCTTTAGTGCATATACCCTTGAGTGTGCCTTTCCTGATTTTGCTCTATATGGAAGAAGAACCCACTGTTTTTCGACTAGCATCTTAGTGACTACTCCTGATTGGTGCGTACTTTTTGTGTCTGTGTTAGGTTATCAACCTAGAATTTAGAGTCCTATATAGGTAGTTTACCTGCATAATAGTTTTTTTGTATTTTAATTGAGCCTGGGAATGCCCACAGGGCACTGTTTTGTAACCAAATATTGAAATTAATAAAAAAAATTAAAAATAAATAAATCATTACATTCATAGTTAGTGTAAGCATTTATTGTCCTGCAATAGATTAAAGCAGAATTACCACAGTGATCCCCACTAACTTCTGGGTCCATGCCGGGTGGCGGCCCTGCTGCATTGTAAATACAGGAGATTGCTTGCTTGGCATGGGCACTACTCAGAGAACACTTTGCATTCTCTCAGTGATTGCAAAGTATTCTTTGATAGGACAAAGTGCATAGGAGGGATATTGTGACATCATAAAATCAACCTCATCCAATCAGAGAACACTGCATCCATTGAGAAAATTCAAAGTATTCTCGGAATGGTGTCTGTGTTGAAGGGCAACCTCCTGTGTTCACAATGCAGCAGGGTAGCTATTCAGTACAGGACCCAAAAGCTAGTGGAGTTCACCACTGAAGTAGCATTGCCTATTATACTGATTTCCAGATTTCTGGCTAACGGCCTCATTTGCAAGTATAAATGGAGCCTAATACAGCAGAGCTATTTGCCTCGCTGTTAATTACAATCTATATCCAAAATGAATAAATGCATGTAAAGTAAGCACTACTTCATATAGCACCTGATGTTCAGAAATACATACAGGAATTCAGTACCCAGAATAGAATGAGAAGGAAAGCAGAGCTAGACCCTGGAAAAAAAGAGAGAGGAGGAGGTAGGACCCAATGTTTAGGTGTACCTCAGGCAGGAGGTTCTTGAAAACGGAGTTGCTACACCCCCCAAACCTGGGTACTTTCTCTTTATTATTCTGTTCTTGGTACCGAATTCCTGTATGTATTTATGAACATCAGCTTGAATATTTTCAATATAATTGTGCTTATATGTTTTACAGAAGTTTATTGCAAAAGCATTTTTGTCATGTGGTGTGCATACTCTATATATTTAAAATAATAGTTCATTCTCTTCCCTTCCCATCCTAGTGAAAATGGTTATAAAGACAGGAAGTGAAGGAAAATCTCCCCAAAGGGTACCCAATCAGCAGTGAAGATCCAACAGAGATTCTAAATGTTCCTTAAGCTTTCCAACTGTAAAAAAAAGTTTAGAATGGAGGCACACTTTAGGAGGTTGACTGGCCCATGTCTACACAAATGGGTGACCGCCTTGATTTATGGGAAGGCTGTCTATATAGCACTGCAAAGCACTCCATAAGTCCATATAGTCTACACTGCCACACGTTTATGTGATAAAAGAGAGAAGGAGCAAGACGTTGGCTCTAGCTTATCAGGGGAAAAAATAGCAAACGCAACAAGTTTTCTAACCTGTACAACTGGCTCTTCCACTGAACAGCAGCCGGCTGGGACAATCTGGAGGCTCCCACAGATATGATATTGCCTTCTACTGTCCAGGAGTACTTTAAGGCCTCGTTTAAACTTACTTACTAAGAGCAAACCCCCGGCTGCTAACTTTTCAGCTAAAGGTGGAGTGGTTGAGAAATGGTAAAAATGCAGTTCCACTGCAAGTGTAAATGACATTCATTTTTTTTTTACAACTCCAGCCTATGTGATGGCCACAGTCAACTGGTGACAGATGTCTATGCTGATCATTAAGGCATGGAAAACCTGTCTTTTAATTGCCATTTTCAGCTGCTCACTCCTTAATTTCCTGATAAGGGGGTAGATTAAAGAATTGATGTGAATTCACCATAGATAACACACAACAGCTTCACAATCAGCATGTCACATGGGCTGGCTACTGATATCATGGATGTTATCTTGGGATTAGTAATAAACTCTTACAGATGCTGTTACTGATATTCTGCTGAAAAAATCCCTGGTTTTAAGGGTGATCTTATTTTCCTGTATGAAAATTATACCACAAACAACTGAATGAAATCCCATTAGAGAATCAAAGGTAAGGCCACAGGTGAAACAACTGCAGTCGATCTACTCATAATTACCAACCACATAAATATTTGATTATATCTTTAAAATGACAGTACATGTTGAAAAGAGCCATTTTCAAAATCCTACTACACACAACTGTAAGATTTCTAAATATAGCAGTGTAAACAAGAATATCTTTCTTATGTCTTTACTGAGTCCAATGTCAAATTTCACAAAACCTGATAACCTGATGTTGGGTGGACTTTACTAAAGACAAAGATATTGGCTGGAGCAATCATGGCAACATCTACTGATACAGTATTCAGCTTTCGACAATAAACTGATATCAGTATGGCCTTAAATACTTAGTTTTAATTCAGCCTTTAGACTACACAATAACAGATTATTCTATACACATTATATACAGTAGTGTGGATAGATGAATCTCCCGTCTTCCATCTGTTGTATATGTATTATAAGTATATAATAATCCAACAGTGGCTGTATATGATTGGATGCAGCTGCTGTTGGGCTGATAATTATGTTAGGCTCCTTTAATTTTTTTAATTAAAGAAAGTTGGGCTGGAGATAGGTGACAGGGCCACCCAAAGAGCAATTTTAGGCTGGTTTACCAGGGACTTTGGTCCTAAAGCCACCCATTACTGAAAAAAACAAAAAAAAAAACAACATTTTTTAGTACATAGTACCTGTAAGGGAAAAAAAATTTACTTTCCAAGTCCTGTACCTGTTTGTGGAATCTTTGCTCTGCTGCTATGCTTTGGTGTTTGAAGAATTTTCATATCCAACACACTTTCTGGTGTGTTGGATGCATGCATCCCCCCTGTGCTTTGTGGTTAATCTCGTGTTCCCTATGCCACTACTGTGCCCTGTAGTGACTTTCTGAAAAATCCTCACATCCAGTACACCTGGAAGTTTTTCAGGTTTGAAGATCTTTTGGGTGTAGTAGCTCTACAGCAGAGAGAAGATTCAACGAATGGGCAATGGTCCATGTATTAAGTCTCTTTTTTTTGGGTGCTATTTGTTTAATGTTTTGTTTTAGACAGAGATGCTTTAAGGTCCCTTTCACATTTATGCGTAGGTACTTACATGCATTGTTAAAGTGTGTAATTGTATACATTTATGCATGTTTTTGTATGATTTATAAGCACTTTTAAGTTCTATTTGGTGTTTTTTTTGTTTATTCATTATGCAAAGTGAAGAAGAACCATATAGAATTGTGATTACAAATTGCATGATGTGTGATGACCCTTCATTTTTGTGGGCTTGCCTAATGCACGTAAACGCAAAAAATTTAAATGTCTTGTATTCAAACATGCAATAGATGTGAATATATTGAAATAAATGGGTCAATCTGAAAAGAGAAAAAAAAATAACCCAGAAAGTTTTAGTGTGAAGGGCTAGAAGGAATCGAATATCCCTCCACTGAACCAGTGTTTTTGCTGTATGCTGTATTTTCTACATTAAAGTATGCTTTGGAGGAATTGCTGTGTGCCAGTAATCGTGGCTATCAAATGTGTCCAGTCCTGAGAAGAAGAATATTTTTGCCATCGGTTTTGGGTATGCAGTTGATCATTTCGCATAAAGGAATGATCTGCATGGCCCCACTCACTACCTGAATGAGGAATATTCCTCTTATTTTTTAAGTATTTGGTAGAATAAGGCTGGTCATACATTATACAATTTTCTTAAAATGTTCTGTACAATTTCCTTTAGATTTACCTTCAACTATGTAGTGCAAGGGCCTGCCTAATTGATATACAATTGAAAATGTTGTTTAGGTTTGACCTCATATTATATGCTTTTTGGTAAATCTAAAGGAAAACTGTACAAGAAAATTGTATAATGTATGGCCAGCCAAAGATATGTGAATACCTTCTTTTACAGATAGGCTCTACTGTGCTATATAAAAACAGAAAAGTCTTAATGGTCTCCAAGTCAGATACTAAAGTGTTGACTACAGATGCTGTAGACCATGGACAAACCCAAAGGAACTGCTGGAAAATCAAAAACATGTAACCAGAATAGAATTTTGGGTAGACTATTCATTATAAAAGGTGATTTCCAGGAAATCATGTATTAACATGCAAGGATGTTTGATCACCACAGACCCTTTGTAAGCAGTAATAGGAGTGTGGGGAAAAAGTTCATATTAACATAGTAGTTAAAGAACTCCAGGCAAAATGTTTGTTTTCCCATGCAGTGTGGCTGTGCCTGCACTGCACAGGTTAACTGCTCATTTTTGTCTAGGGGTGAGGAGAACGGAGATATATTTACCTAATCTGCTGAGCCTCCAAGCGCAAAAACTGGTCCCCACTTCTCCTGCCCCACCCCCACTAGTGGTCTTGTTCCTGAAGTCATCACGCCCATAGACCGTCTCTGGATGCGAGGACAGCAAAAACAGTCCATCACTTTACGTGGGAGGATCAAAGGTTCGGGTAAGAATAGCTTTTCCTTACACCATTGGACAAAACACGCAGTTAGCCCATGCAGTACGGGCGCAGCCCTACTGCATGAGAA